CAGCGTGGGGTGCGAAGAGGTGGCGAAATATAAAGGGGGAAGTAAGAATGATTGGGAAATGATCACTGTCATGTAAGTCCGGGAGAACAGACCAAGTGAAGTCTAATGCAGCGGGGAAGAGCAGACTGAGAGATCGATGCAAGAGAGAGTATGAGTCCGAGGATCAAAATGGGTGCGAGTACCTGTATTTAAAAACATGGAGGGGGTGGGTGGCAAGAAAAGCCTCTAACTGAATTCCACGGGAATCACAGTGAGACCCCCCCCCCAGAGGAAATGGTGGGCATTAAAATCACCAAGTAACAGAATCGGTGGCGGAATGCGAACAAGAAGGCAAAATCCGGAATAAGATAATGCCCGAAAGGAGAGAGATATAAAGAACAGAGCTATTACCACCTATGCAAGTGGATATGGGCTGTGTGTAATGCAGCGAAGTATGGACAAATAGCTGATGGTACGGAATATCAGTGCGTAGAAGGGCACTTTCATTAAAGGCCCCATCAGGAAAAGGATCTGAAGAATACAATAAATTATGCCTGAGATGTGAGAAATAACAGCAGAGTGTAATTTTTGGTTCCTGTAAGAAAACCCACCAACAGGGGCAAACTGGGGAGTAACATCTGAAGCTCACCCCGATTACCCCTGAGTGCCGGTATATTCACTGTAAATAGGCCATGATTGGCAATGATAAAGATATTGAAATCGTAGGTAAGGGTTCCTACGGACTAGAGGGGTTAAAAAAGTCCACATGCGGAGGCAGGGGAAAACGTTCAAGCAGCAAGGAACGGTGCGCTGTGAAGAAAGGAGTTGCGCAGATGGAGCAGAGAGAGAGAAAGAGCGGAAGGTGGTCATGTACATTGATGGTTTGGTCTCTGCAATATATTCAGAGATTGCTTCAAGTGTTTCGGAATCAGAGACGTCGTATGGAGACAAAACTGGGAATGGTAGGGGGAGGATGAGTAAAGATTTGGAACTGTATTGGACTGTACCAAGGTAGGGGGGGGCAAAAGGGGTGGAGGGAACTGGAGAAGCGTGGGAGGGGACAGAAAGGCAGGAACCTGGGAGGTGGCAGAAGAGGAAGAAATTTGGGGGGAACAGGGGGGGAAGGTATAGTACGAGGAGGAGGGTGAACCTCTACACTTGAAAACTGAGGCCAGTGAGGGGGGAAAAGAACCAGGACAGAGACAGGGAGGGTAAAATGGGGAGGTGGAAGAGGGGTAGGGGGGTGTTAACAGCCCTTTTTTTTGACTTTTGAGAAGTAGAGGGACGATTGGAAGGTGTCGTACGAGGTCTCGTCGATACTGAGGCTTGTGAGAGAGAACCCCGAAGAAGCGAGATTAGACTGAGGCATTGAAGTAGGGACGTCTGAGCCGAGGACAGCCCAAAAAGGGTTAAAATACAGGAGTGATTATGGGAGAGGTAACCACAAGGTGGGTGTAGAAGATGGGATACCAGAAGTGGGGGGGGGGACGTTTTGAAACACGGGAATAAGAAACACGTGGGAGTCTCCCTTGAGGCGGAGATGAGAACTGCCATGGCATAAGGGAGACCTTCTGTCTCTTTGAGGTAACGAATTTCCCGCTCGTTTAAAAGACTTGACAACGGGAGAGTACGAAAGGGGGAGCCTCATGACAGTTAAGGCAAGAGGGAGATCGATTGCAAGACGTTAGAATGGTCATCGGCACCCCAGACTGGGCATTCGGCGATAGATCTGCAATATTTCGCTGGATGGCCAAATCGCCAGCAATTTCTACACTGTTGTGGTGTAGGGATCACCTTTCGACTTGTAAAACCCATGTCCTGCTATATAAACTTTAGGATGGGAGTTCTCGGCTGTCAAAAAATTAAACGAGCCACATTGCTAGGGTATCGTCTCCGCCCATGGGCAGGAAGAACGTAAGTGTCTACCTTGAGGATTGGGAGATCTTGGAGTTCCCCGCTGTTCAAGAATATCAGTGCCACATGTCTGGGAAAATTTTGTTGAACTATGGTATGGGGCAGAATGACGGTACCACTACAAGAATTGAGGGAATGATGTTTTTCAAGAGTGACAGGAACAGTATCGATATGGGAAAGACGAGAGAGCTCACGAGCCTGGGTAGCATTCTGTACGGTAATGATGCGCATACCGCTCTTAAGAGCAAAGAAAAGAAATATCTTTACCAACATGGCGTAGGAGTGCCTTGCCAATTTCTATGGTCAGAAAGATAGGCAGAGAGGAATCGGGGCGTAAAGTGAAGAATTTAGTCCATTGTTCAGTCTGAAACTGAGCATGGAAAGGTAGTGAAGGACGTGTCGATCGTTTCTGAGAAGAACGAGAAGGTGGAGAAGTATCATCAGCAGGTAATTGTCGTTGGCGTTTAGGCGTGGGACCAGAGTTGGTCCGACGTGGAACGGGTCGGCGATTTGAAAATTGCCGCACCGTAGAGGAAGAGGCCGGAAGCATAGTCAGAGGAGATTATTATTATAATCAGGGGGAAGCGCTAAACCCGTAGGATTATACAGCGCCTGGGAGGGATGTGGAAGGCATTCAGGCTTAATTCGGGGAACTGGAGCACAGATCCAATTCCCTAAATCAAGAGCCCCTCGCCAACATCAAGGAACCTTCCCTGAGGGGATAGTCAGAGGAGAGCGAAGGTCCGATAAATCGAAGGAGTCAGTCGAGGCCTCAGTACCTGAAGCGGGTGAGGAAACAGCACCGGCAATAGGTACAGAGGCATGAGGAATGTCTGAAGAGTGGTCCAAAGACGAGGCAGGGTCAGAACGGGGTGCGGTATCAAGAAGGGGCCCGGGGGTATTAGGTTCATGGACTAGGGCTGCCATGGTTAGGTTACTTCTTTCTTTTTGTTTTTAAGAAAAAAAAAGAAAAGAAAATAAAAATAAAAAAAAAATAAAAAAAGGGGGGACCGGGGAGGGATAGTTCCTAGGAGGAATGAAAGGGCCAGAAATCTCCCTCCGCGCCCAAGAGGACCTCAGCACCGCAAGTAGCGCAGATGCAGCATGGAACCCGTGCCATACCCTACCCCTCATGCTAGTAAACTAACAATCTGGGATAGCAACCTCACATCTGCCGAGCTACCTCGGTGGACAAAAGAGAGGGGGGGCCGGATATCCGCCACAAGCATACCTCCTTCGGCCACCACCCTGGAGTCCGAAAAGTGGCTTCCCGAGATACACTCGTCGCCCGAAAGACACCCAAAGCTACTCCGGGATGCGGAGAGGGATCGGGGGCATCCCCAGGTGATCCGATTCCACGGCAAACTACGCCACCGCTAAGAACCTCAATGGAATGGGATGGACCCCGGTATCCTTTCCCCTACCTAGGAACTAGCGCGCCTGTGGGAGAAATCCCAAAGGACAAAAAGAGGAAGGGCAAAAGGGAGGGTGGGGAGGAGGAAAAGAAAAAGGGGAGGATGGGGAGGATGGGATAGGGGAGGGGAGATTGGGGGGTAATTAGGTTCGGTCTGAGGAAGAAGACCGACAGGTCTAATTCCTCAGACCAAGAGCCTCTTCACCACGCCAAGGAGCCCCCCTTGAAGAGGAAGTCAGTCTTAAAGTAAAGAATTTAGTCCATTGTATGGTCCGAAACTGAGCATGGAGAGGGAGTGCATGACGTGTTGGTCTTTTCCGAGTAAAATGGGAAGGTAACAAAGTAACATCATCAGGAGATTGTTGTTGGCATTCAGAAGCGGGACCAGAGTTGGTCCGACGTGGGACAGGCTGGCAATTCGAAAATTGCCGCACTGTAGAGGGAGAGGCTGGAAACATAGTCAAAGGAGGGCAGAGGTCAGATGAATTGGAGGAGTCAGTCGAGACCCCAGTACCTGAAGCTGGTGATGAAACAGCACCAGCAAGAGGTACAGGGGCATCAGGAGTGTCCAAAGAGTGGTCAAAAAATGAGGCAGGGTCAGAACGGGGTGCAGTATCAGTAAGGGGCCCGGGGGTAGCAGGTTCATAGACTAGGGCTTCCATGGTTAGGTTACTTCTTTCTTTTTGTTTTTTTAGAAAAAAAGAAAGAAAAGAAAATAAAAACAAAAAAAAAGAAAAAGGGGGAGTAATAGTTCCTAGGAGGAATGAAAGGGCTGGAAATCACCCTCTGCACCCAAGAGGACCTCAACACCGCAAGTAGTGCAGATGCGGCATGGAACCCGAGCCATACCTTACCCTTCATGCCAGTAAACCAGCAATCCAGGAGAGCAACCTCACATCTACCGAGCTACCTCGGTGGACAAAAGAGAGGGTGGCCGGATATCTGCCACAAAGCATACCTCCTTTGGCCACCACCCTCGGAATCTGAAAGGCGGCCTCCAGAGATACACCCATCGCCCGAAAGACACCCAAAGCCACCCCCTGGAAGACCGGAGAGGGAATGGGATATCCCCAGATGATCCAGATTCCATGGCAAACTACACCACCGCCAAGAACCTCAATGGAATGGGATTGACCCCAGTACCCTTCCCCCTACCTATAAACCAGTAGGCCTGTGGGAAGAATCCCAATGGCCAAAAAGAGGAAGGGAATAAGGGAGGGATGGGGGAAGAAGGAGGAAAGGGGAAAGAGAGGATGGGATAGGGAAGGGGGAACTGGAGGTAATTAGGTTCGATCTGAGGAAGGAGACCAACAGGTCTAATTCCTCAGACCAAGAGCCTCTTCACCACGCCAAGGAGCCCCCCTTGAAGAGGGGAATGGGAGGTAATTAGGTTCGATCGGAGGAAGAAGACAGAAGGGTCCAATTCCTCAGACCAAGAGCCTTGTCACCACTGCAAGGAGTCCCTTTCCCCCCTTGAAGAGGTTTGATGACAGTGATTAAGCTTTTTTTTTTTACCAAATTTTTAGAGGAATTCATGCGATTCCTTGTCGCATATATTTATTTTAAAGTAATTGCTGTTTTTAGATTTTCTGTCTTTGGAAATGTTTTGTGAACTTATAGTCTAAGATAAAAAATAAAAGGCCAATGAGAAACAAGTCTTATTTTATAATGGGATAAGAAATACTAATTCTTACTATAAAAATATTAATTTTTATTATAAAATGATTATCACATAAAGAGCACAAACCTTAACCTAGTGCGAGTATCACAACCTGCAGAAAACTGTAGGTACAGTCCATATCGATATGTATCATTGCAAGAAAGTGTATGACCCAGAGGGTGTGTGTCTTCTCATGTGTTAAGGAAATGTGCCTCAGAGCTTACACTTATACTGACTTGACTATCTTGTCCTCTAAACCTTTATTTTTTGGAAACATGCTTTGGTTCAACCTGTCTTGACGAATGAAAAGCATTCCAATCCTAGTAAATATTTCAGACGAACGATATTCGAATCTGTTCTTAACGACATTTCTTAAGTATTTCATCTTTAGCCACACAACTGCTTTTTAAATTTGCTTAGATATTTTGGTAAATTATTTGACAGAGCCCTAGATATATTCAATGCTTTTGATAGGGGTAGAGTATAACTATCTGTGGTTTCATCCACCTTTCCAATGAAAATTAATTTTGAGCTTCCTTTCTGCTTATTTTTCTTGCTGTAGATGGCTCATTTTCTGTTTCTTCACTAACTGTGATATTCAGCAGTGGGGTCTTGTCTCATACTAATTTCTCTAATGATTTTCAGACCACATTCATATTTACTTTACATTGCACTTTTCATAATTTAGCCGTATTGTTCACTAACCCTTATGTAGCTTTTCCTGAATATTATACTTTCAGATTCAAAACTGTCTCAGAGGTTAAATTAAAGCAAACCTTTGCCCTTTGTTACACTAAAGCAAACTTTTGCCACTGAAAAAACTTCATAATTATAAACTTCAACCTTCTCTTAATATTCTAAGCATCGTGCCACAACTAACTTTCTTTATCCAAACCCTTCAGGAAGGGTTCTTGATGCTGACAAGATCCTCTACATGATCCTCTGCATGATCCTCTACGAATTCAGCATTTCTCGAAAACATTAGTAATAATATAAGCACCAAGCCTCAGCCTTCTACCAATGTTTTAGGTGTGGTATGCGGTTTGTCTATGAAAGTTTACATTTTTCATTGCACTAAGTGTTTAAAAAATTGAATTCTGTTTTGTAAAATATTTTGTCTCAGTAACATGAACATTTTGTATATAAACAAACATTAATAAATGGGCAATTTTGCCTTTGGTAACCTATTCTATAATAAAAGTGCAAAGGAAGCTTGTATCAGCCAAAGTGTCAATGCAGATAAAGATTAATTACTAAAATTTCAATTTAGCATCTTGAATTTAATTTACTTTTGCAAGCCAGCATGAACCATTATTAGTTATCAACACACCAAAAACAAACTTCGTTCAAAAGCAACTCATCAATGAAATAAAGTTTGTCAAGCCTAATGAGATGCAAATTAATATAGTATGGTTTCTGGGCCACTCAGTACTGCATTACTTAAAATGTAACAAAATCCTCCATACTTTCAAAGTAACATTGAACATACACTATATTTCAGAAAGTGTAAAAATCTTAAATAGACTGCTGAAGCAAATGTTTCAACAGTAAAAAAAATGTAGCTTTACAATCAAATTAAGAAATTAAATATTAATTTATTCATAAATCACACGTACATTGAACTGAAATATAAGCGCTTAGCTGAAGCAAAATGACTAAGTTGTAAAAACATTAATTTCAATGTTTATAATGCATTAAGGATAAATCACTCCTGTGTTAACAAATTAATCGCGAGACTAGTTTTCTGGTAATTTAAAAAATTAAATGACCATAGAGTAATCAGTTTATGGTTTAAAATGTGTATTAAGCACACATGAAATACCAAGGAACAATTAAATATAAAAGTAGGTTTCTCATCACGAGAAAAATTCCAGTAACTTGGCACAAATTTTAGAGGGATATTCATTAATAATTGGTTATCGTGACTATGATTCACTGATAGTTTGCAAACTGCCTTGTGAACTTTGTCTACTGATAGAATTATTATCGGTTCCCGATCTTCTGCCGTCTCTTTTTTGGCTTGTTTCTTTAATTCTTTCATCTTGCCGTTCTTGATCAGTTTCTCCTAGGATTTCTTGATGTGATTCTCCTGTTTCTTGACGTATTCCTAATGCTTCTTGTGTTTCACTTAATACTTCTGGATGCACGTCACCAAGCGTTTCTTGAGATATTTCACCTAATGCTTCCTGACGTGTTTCACTTGATGTTTCTTGGTTAATTTCACCTTGCCTTGTAGCCTCTCTTTCATCTATGTTGTTGCTAGTAACTTGAGCGAACGAGTTTAACTCATCATCATTGGTAACTGTTTTTGAATGAAACACCTGTGGTAGGCTTTCTACACCTACACTGCTAAATGATGTCACTTCCGTTGAAGGCGAGGCCCCAGATATAATAGCAATGGAATTATTGGAGTCTGTATCTGAACTATTGGAACTTGCATCAGCAACTGTTGTGGTGGTTATGATACGATTTGCAATCTCCTCGTACCTGGGGGGAAAAAAAGTGGTAATTAACAACACTGTATAAACACGGACCAAATAACAACTTTGCAATTTAATTATAAAAGGGCGGAATAGTTCAATCATAAATTTGGGATGAAATATGTCCAACATAAAATACATATATATATTTATTTTATATATATATATATATATATATATATATATATATATATATATATATATATATATATAATATCGTGCCTAACAAGCCAAGCTGCTCAAACAAGCTGAACGCTCTTAAAAAATGCATTTCCTTAATTTAAATATAATGAATTAATATGGCATGAAATTTTTAAATTGCACCAAAACTTTATGTAACATAACTTTGCTAAAATTGAGCAATTAAAAACTCATTCAAATTTGTGGCACTCAGATTTTGCCAATTATGATATTTGGCGTTTTTACTGAATAATCTCCCATGAATAATTTTCATAACTCGCTCTTTTTGACACTGTTCATGTTTCGTACTGGTGCAAGACCCGTTAATTAAAAACCAACAATTAAATTATATTAAAAATGTGCTTACTCAAATTTCTATGCCCAAATCATTCGTGTCACCAGATATTTCTAATTAATGCCACTATTTATTAGGCAATATTTAGAGGTATGGCCTCTGCAATACAAAATGTGTTCTGATATGAAAAGGTTAAACAATAATAGTATTAATTACGAATGCAAGCAAAAAATGGGCTAGAATCCAGGAATAACTTTCCCTCTAACTGAGAGTGAAGAGATTAAAGAGTAAAAGACCAGTCTTGAATTCTGATTTTCTGCTGTTGCACAAATGTAATTTCAGAAGTGAAAAAGGACTAAATTCAGTCCCATAAGTGATATCTGAGTTGTGTGTTTATATCATTCCGTCAAATATAATTAAAGAGGAGGAAACATCATTCCTGGACCTTCTTATTAACGAGTCGTTAATATATTTCACATTACACTAAAACCAAAGAAGTGGGGTAAAAAAAAAATAGTGAAATCTATGTTCTGACTAGGCATGAATACTTAACAAAACAAAACCTTAGTAGTTAAACTAAGCTGTGAGGAAACACAGGAATAATGTGCAGAGCTTAGCGAGGACTTACTTAGGGGGTTTCTCGGAGAGAATGGAATAGTAGTCAGGTGGAAGACCATCAGAGGTGAGGATAGCGTCATAACTAGGAGGCTTATCCTCGGGGTCGCCCGTACTCCCTCCCTCCACTGCTGCAGAGTCTCTGAGGGCTCTCTGAGAGATGAAAACATTGTTAGTCGGGATAAAGTGAAGGTTGTGCATAACTAAGTACACGTACACATAAGAGTAGTTACACGAATTTAGGCGACCACAATTATCATACGTAGGAACATGTGTTAAATTACCTAGGATAACCTTAAAAAAAAAGTCAAGACGAAGTAACTTCTTTCCGTTAGGGTTCTTTTAATTATTTAAAGTCTAGCCTGTGGTGTGTGTGTTGTGGTGTGTGTACTCACTGTTGAGGTTTGCTGGGGTCGTGTCCGAGCTGTGGCCTGTGTTGTGTCTGGTTGTGTATGGTAGGTCTGTTCCTGTGTGCGTGGAGTTTATCTTCTGTGCTGTAAGCTTGTGTGTGAATGGTCCTGTGTGTGTTTGTGTGTTTCCAAACATTTCCACTTCCTGGACTACTCCCCTGGCTGAGAAATACCTCCTTAACATCCCTGTTGGATTCATTCTGTTTTTCTAAAAACTTCCAACTTTTTTGTGTCCCCTTGTTACTGTGTCCCAATCTCTGGAACATCCTGTCTTTGTCCACCTTGTCAATTCCTCTCGGTATTTTGTATGTCGTTATCATGTCCCTCCTATCTCTCCTGTCCTCCAGTGTCGTCAGGTTGATTTCCCTTAACCTCTCCTCGTAGGACATACCTTTCAGCTCTGGGACTAGTCTTGTTGCAAACCTTTGCACTTTCTCTAGTTTCTTTACGTGCTTGGCTAGGTGTGGGTTCAAAACTGGTGCCGCATACTCCAATATGGGCCTAACGTACACGGTGTACAGGGTCCTGAACGATTCCTTATTAAGATGTCGGAATGGTGTTCAGAGGTTTGCTAGGCGCCCATATGCTGCAGCAGTTATTTGGTTGATGTGCGCTTCAGGAGATGTGCCTGGTGTTATACGCACACCAAGATCTTTTTCCTTGAGTGAGGTTTGTAATCTCTGGCCCCCTAGACTGTACTCCGTCTGCGGTCTTCTTTACCCTTCCCCAATCTTCATGACTTTGCACTTGGTGGGATTGAACTCCAGGAGCCAAATGCTGGGCCAGGTCTGCAGCCTGTGTAGATCCCTTTGTAGTTCTGCCTGGTCTTCTATCGAGTGAATTCTTCTCATCAACTTCACGTCATCTGCAAACAGGGACACCTCGGAGTCTATTCCTTCCGTCATGTCGTTCACAAATACCAGAAACAGCACTGGTCCTAGGACTGACCCCTGTGGGACCCCGCTGGTCACAGGTGCCCACTGACACCTCGCCACGTACCATGACTCGCTGCTGTCTTCCTGACAAGTATTCCCTGATCCACTGTGGTGCCTTCCCTGTTATCCCTGCTTGGTCCTCCAGTTTTTGCACTAATCTCTTGTGTGGAACTGTGTCAAACGCCTTCTTGCAGTCCAAGAATATGAAATCCACCTACCCCTCTCTCTCTCTTGTCTTACTGTTGTCACCATGTCATACAACTCCAGTAGGTTTGTGACACAGGATTTCCCGTCCCTGAAACCATGTTGGCTGCTGTTGATGAGATCATTCCTTTCTAGGTGTTCCACCACTCTTCTCCTGATAATCTTCTCCATGATTTTGCATACTATACATGTCTTCCATGCCTCAGGCAATCTCCCTGTTTCGATAGATATATTGAATATTGCTGTTAGGGGTAGATATAGCACCTCTGCTCCCTCTCTCAGGACCCATGGGGAGATGTTATCTGGCCCCATTGCCTTTGAGGTATCTAGCTCACTCAGAAGCCTCTTCACTTCTTCCTCGGTTGTGTGCACTGTGTCCAGCACTTGGTGGTCCCCCCCACCTCTCCGTCTTTCTGGAGCCCCTTCTGTCTTCTCTGTGAACACTTCTTTGAATCTCTTGTCGAGTTCCTCGCATACTTCACGGTCATTTCTTGTCTCTCCTTCCTTCCTTCCTTCCTTCCTTCCTTCCTTAGCCTGGTTACCTGGTCCTTGACTGTTGTTTTCCTCCTGATGTGGCTGTAACAGTTTCGGTTCAGATTTGGCTTTCGCTGCTATGTTGTTTTCAAATTGTCGTTGGGCCTCCCTTCTTATCTGTGCATATTCGTTTCTGGCTCTACGACTACTCTCCTTATTCTCCTGGGTCCTTTGTCTTCTATATTTCTTATATTCCCTAGCACGCTTGGTTTTTGCCTCCCTGCACCTTTGGGTGAACCGTGGGCTCATCCTGGCTTTTTCATTATTCCTGTTACCCTTGGGTACAAACCTCTCCTCAGCCTCCTTGCACATTGTTGCTACATGTTCCATAATCTCATTAACTGGCTTCCCTGCCAGTTCTGTCCCACTGAACCCCGTTCAGGAAGTTCCTCATTCCCATGCAGTTCCCTTTCTTGTAGTTTGGCTTCATTCGTCCTGGCCTTCCTGCTTCCCCCTCCATTTGTAGCTCTACTGTGTATTCGAAGCTTAAAACCACATGATCGCTGGCCCCAAGGGGTCTTTCGTATGTGATGCCCTCAATATCTGCACTACTCAAGGTGAATACTAAGTCCAGTCTTGCTGGTTCATCCTCTCCTCTCTCTCTTGTAGTGTCCATTACGTGTTGGTACTTGAAGTTTTCCAGTACCACCTCCATCATCTTAGCCCTCCATGTATCTTGGCCCCCATGTGGCTCCAAGTTTTCCCAATCGATCTCCTTGTGGTTAAAGTCACCCATGATCAGGAGCTTTGCCCTGCATGCATGAGCTCTTCTGGCCACTGCAGCCAGTGTGTCAACCATCGCTCTATTGCTCTCGTCATACTCTTGCCTTGGTCTCCTGCTGTTCTGTGGTGGGTTATACATCACTGCAATTACCACCTTGGAACCTCCCGAGTGAAGTGTTCCCACTATGTAATCACTTCTCCGCTGTCTCCTCTCCAGTTCATCAAAATTCCATCGGTTTTTGATCAGCAGTGCCACTCCTCCACCCTCCCCTGTTCCCTCTGTCTTTCCTCAGGATCTGGTATCCCGTTGGAAAGATGGCATCTGTTATCATAACTGTAAGCTTGATTTCTGTGAGAGCTATGATGTCCGGTGATGCCTCTGACTCTTTCGTGCCACTCCTCCCACTTATTTGTTATGTACTCGCCTCACCTATTTGCACTTACCTATTTGTGGTTGCAGGGGTCGAGTCTTAGCTTCTGGCCCCGCCTCTTCACCGGTTGCTACTGGGCCCTCTCTTTCCCCGCTCCATGAGCTTTATCAAACCTCGTCTTAAAACTGTGTATGGTTCCTGCCTCCACTACGTCATTTTCTAGGCTATTCCACTGCCTTACAACTCTATGACTGAAGAAATACTTCCTAATATCTCTCTGACTCATTTGTGTCTTCAACTTCCAATTGTAGCCTCTTGTTTCTGTGTCCCCTCCCTGGAACATCCTGTCTTTGTCCACCTTGTCTATTCCACGGAGTATTTTATATGTCGTTATGTCTCCCCTGACCCTGCTGTCCTCCAGTGTCGTCAGGCCGATTTCCCTTAATCTTTCTTCATAGGACATTCCCCTTAGCTCTGGAACTAACCTTGTGGCAAACCTTTGTACTTTTTCTAGTTTCTTGATGTGCTTTATCAAGTGCGGGTTCCAAACAGGTGCTGCATACTCCAGTATGGGCCTGACATACACGGTGTACAGTGTCTTGAACAATTCCTTACTAAGGTATCGGAATGCTGTTCTCAGGTTTGCCAGGCGCCCATATGCTGCAGCAGTTATCTGATTGATGTGTGCTTCCGGAGACATGCTCGGTGTTATACTCACCCCAAGATCTTTCTCCTTGAGTGAGATTTGCAGTCTTTGGCCACCTAGCCTATACTCTGTCTGTGGTCTTCTGTGCCCTTCCCCTATCTTCATGACTTTGCATTTGGCAGGATTAAATTCGAAAAGCCATTTGCTGGACCAGGTGTCCAGTCTGTCCAGGTCTCTCTGAAGTCCTGCCTGGTCCTCATCAGATTTAATTCTCCTCATTAACTTCACATCTGCAAACAGGGACACTTCTGAGTCTAACCCTTCCATCATGTCGTTCACATATACCAAAAAAAGCACTGGTCCTAGGACTGACCCCTGTGGGACCCCGCTCATCACAGGTGCCCACTGTGATACATCATTACGTACCATGACTCGTTGTTGCCTCCCTGTCGGGTATTCTCTGATCCATTGCAGTGCCCTTCCTGTTATATGCGCCTGATGCTCTAGCTTCTGCACTAATCTCTTGTGAGGAACTGTGTCAAAGGCCTTCTTGCAGTCCAAGAAGATGCAATCAACCCACCCCTCTCTCTCGTGTCTTACTTCTGTTATTTTATCATAAAACTCCAGAAGGTTTGTGACACAGGATTTGCCTTCTATGAATCCGTGCTGGTTGGCATTTATACTCTTGTTCAGTTCCAGGTGCCCCACCATTCTCCTTCTGATAATCTTCTCCATAATTTTGCATACTATACACGTCAATGCCTCTTTTCTGTCTCTTTTTTTAAAAATGGAACTACTTTTGCGATTCCATACTAGGTGTTCCCCCATTTTCGGGGGATTTTTGAAGATTGTGGTAAGTGGCACGCCCAACATATCTGTCCCCCTTAAGGACCCGGGGGAATGTTTTTTCGTCCCATTCCCTTTTGAGGTATCGATGCCCCTTAGCATTTCTTCACCTCCCCCTCATCTGTTGTAGTCGTCCAACATTTGTTGTGTATTCCTTGCTGGTGTCCCCATCTGGTCGCCCCCCAGAGCCCTTCCGTTCTATGTAAATTTTCCCTTAAATTTTGGTTGAGTCCTCCATACCCTTGATCTTTTTTGGGGATTCCCCCACCTTTTTTCCCTCACCCTTTCACCGGTCCTTGACTGTTGTTTTCCCCTCCTAATGTGGCTATACAGCGTTTCGGGTCAGATTTGCTTTCATGCATGTCGTTTTCATCTGTCGCTGGGCCCCCCTCCTTATTGTGCATCCCGTTTCTGGCTCTTCTACTAATCCCCTTTTTCCTGGGCCATCCCTCCTGTCCCTTTTTCCATTTTGTTGCACTTAGTT